CCACATGGATCCTGCCCAAATGGTGCCAAGCCTGGTCCTAGAGAGTGTGGCAGTGGCAGGGAGTAGCAGCAGGTGCTGGAAATCTGTGATGAACAGGAACAACATGCAAAGGGGTTTGTCTGTGGATGGAGCAGGTGAGCAGGACGGGTTACTTCTAGATCTACTCCAGCTCTGTCACAGTAGAGTTTCACCTCTGACTTGACACTGCTGTGCCTGTGCAGCGCTTTGTGAGCTTGGAAAATGCCGGTAAATCCGAGTGTCAGCCGTGCCCGTGTGCTGGAGAGGACCCTCTCTGAGAGCGCTGTGCATGCACAGAGTTTAATGCAATGTTTCCAGTCAGTTCACTCTGCAGTACAAATACAGCCTTCTGTCTTGTGTAAAGAAGCCTCAAAAGATTGTCACTGAGGTTTGCTGGTCAAGGCAAGTGGCAAACAAGTGACTTCTCGGGCATGACAGTGAAGCAAACTGGATATTGTATTTGCCTTTGCAGTTTGGTCTGGCAACTTCACTGCAAAGACTGAGGATGACGGGTTTTTGCCAGTTGACTCCCTTGGATATTTTGGAGCCCACAAGCACCTGCTGAAATTGAGGCTTTTAAAACACCGTACAGGTGTCAACAAGTTTTTAAGGTCCTCTGGAATGCAGGGCAGAGGGAGAGGAAGCGATTAAAGCGGTGCACGCTGCTCAGCCCGGGGTTTCCTTCTTCTGAGAAGCTGGGAGTGAGGCAGATTAAATCTCTTAAGCAGCACTGGAAGAGAAGGAGTAGGTTTTATTCTTAACAAGCAAATATAATGCATGTATTTTCTGAGCAAATATTTTTCTATGCCACGTAACCAATTACCAAGTCACACATGTACAGCCTTACCGGTGAAATAAAGGAAGTCTCACTGTTTGTCTTGTTAACTCGCTTCCCTGCAGCCACCCTGAGTCATGTGTTGCTCTGGGTTGGCTGTGGGAGGGATGGGAGAGCATTTTACCATTGAGATTACTGTGCCAAAAGACTAACTAATTTCTGAGTCTCTTCCAAATGAGTTAATGTTGTAATAGTAGAGCATCAGGCTGAGAGAATTAGGATTGGGATTGTTCCCAATGTTTCTACTTCGAACATGGCAAAGAAGGAATTGTGCATTAACTTGTAGTAATGATCTAGAGTAATAATCTATAGAATGTGATAAGAGCTCTTTAATTGGATTTTTAAAACATAGGAATTGTACTCTACAGCTAACATAGCTTAGTGTGTCTGCATTAGAGCCCAGAACTTGTATGTGAGGCTATCACAGTATTTCTAAAGAGACTAGACAGAGCTGTATGCTGCAGAAATCTGGATCTGTGTCCATCTGGCTCAACAAGCATAAGGGCATAACTTACCTGATTGCCAAAACATTAAAAAAATTATTTAAAGATAGTCACTGACTAAATTTCCTACCCAGGTGGCTACCCCAGTGTTTTCAGGTGGTGAAAATCTGCAAGTGGTTTTAAGCACTGCTTAGAAAAATGACTGATACCCTTAAATTTCAGGGATAGCAGATGTTCTTCTTGCTGTTTAAAAACACTTCGAGAACTTCTGTCATAGCCATGTATAAACAAGCTTATCTCATGTTGCAGCCTGTATACAGGGATTTTATCTTTTGGTGCAGTTAACCTTTGAAGAGTTGATTCTGGTAATATTTTAGATGTAAGGAACTTTTTTCTTGCTTGCTTTATTAAAAAAAAAAAATGAAATTCACCCAATCCAGACCATAAACAAGTAGAAGGTTTCATGATACAAGGGGGGATATATCTTGTAAACGAGGATGGGATAGTCTTTAAACAGAACATGCCTGGAAATTATCTACTTGGAGGCTGAATAAAAAAACCTCAGCAGAATTCAGAGGGCCTGAATTGACAGATTTTATTCTGTCAGTCTGGACTCCTGCTCACAAGTGGTGTGCTTATATGCATGGCTAAGCTACAACTGCTTCTGCCAATTTTCTGCTCCAGATCTTTTGCTGGTTTTGGAGTCACTGTGCAAATGACCAGAAGAAACAGGTTTTTATTCCTTTATGTCCGTTCATATGGAAGATGAGCTGTTGCAGAAGAGAACAGAGCGGTGCATCGGTAAACTGGCCCACTTGTTACTGTCACCTCTTGGGCAGCCTATCAACGACTGTAAACAGCTTTTAAAGGAATCCTTGTGTTCCCCTCTGGGCCAGAAATGATCTTTCAGCAAATGTTGACTTGCTGACTAAGCTGAGCTTATGTCATTTGATTTTTAAAGCATTAAAAAGTAAGATAAAAACCCCCTCCTGGTATTTCTTGAGTGGTCTCTAAAGCAACCTTGCTCTAAAGAGAAGGCGAGCTTTGTGAAAATCAGAAACTGTGTCAGCTGCCAGCGGGTGACTTTGTGGTGGCCTGTAGGCTGCTTCTCATGCAGATTCATTTTTCAAAAAGGAGCTGCCCTCAGTCTGAGCTAAAGGACAGTGTGGGTGCAGACAGGGTAAGGCAGGGGCTCAGCTCAGGTGGGACCAGAGCTAACTCACTTCAGGTGCTACATCCAGCTGCTTTGAACATTTCTAGATTTTGTGTTGTGGTTTTCAGTGTTTGCATGAGATGAATTGTACAGCAATTCCTCATCTTCTGTGTGTGCTTTGTCTTACTCTGGAGTCTTTTCCTTTACTGACGCGTATAATAAGAGTTTCAAGCCACTTGGAATAAAAACCATGACATTCAAATGCAGTTCTGGTGTTGTTCATGAGTGGCGAACTAGGAGACCTTCAAATCAATTTTCATTAAAATTCTCCACGCAGAGTCATTAATGCAGTGGTCTTTCACCTGGAGCTGCTGCTTAATGAAGAGAAAAATGGAGGAAAAACTTCATGTCGAAGCTCACAGCAAACCCATGCATTCAAAATAATTCTCTTTGGAAACATTTTAAACAGTATTTATTGCTTTGATGTTGCCTTCATCATATTTTAATGCTTAATTAAAAATAAAACTCCAAGCATCTGAAATTATATTGTACCTTAAAGCTCAAATAGAGTAGTTTTGGTTTTAAGTATTTTTTTTTTGCTCAGACAAAAGAAAAGAGAAGGTCAGGCTGTTTGATGTTGTGTCGTACTAGAGGAATACACTGGCACTGATGTATGTGATGTTGGTTTTTCCATGAGAATACTGATGTGAATGAAGATTACTTAAGGGTGTGAAAGAGAAGGACCACAAAAAGTCAGTAAAAGACATCTATAATTATGGGTAGAATCTGCCATGGTTTCTCAGTGTATCAGCTCAGTTTAGCAGAGAGCTGGTGAGAGAGGACTGTGCTCTCATTCCTTAAGGATTTGTTAGGCCTGTGCTATGGGATTCCTCATCTGCACTGGATATGATGAATGGCGAGGGCCTGGAGCAGCTGGGCTGGCTCTGAACTGCAGGCCTGTTCCTCACTAACTGCTGCACACTCCTCATGCTCAGTGTCCACAGTCAATAGCAGGAAGAGACTTCGTTTCTCTCTCTCACCTTGTTTTTACCTTCTCTCTTTCTTGCATTCTATGATTATGTGTCTGAATAGTTCTGTTTCCACGCAAGTATCCACCAGACTCCAGTCTGAATCTCACCTGGTCCTTTGGATAATGGACAACTCTGGATGCTTTGCTGCTAGCAGATAACTTGTGCTTTGCTTTTCAGGGTATATGTTTTTTTCCCCTAAATATGCACAGGTATTTTCCAATGGCTCCAGTGTCAAGGTAAAAGTCAGTGCATGAACTGTTACTGCAGGAGTGAAAATGAGTGTCGAGAGGGGAGACTGCAGAAAACCAGTGAGCTCCATTTTCAGAGTGATGAATCCATGTTCCACCGACCTGGGAACAAAGTCCAGATGGTCCCATTCGAAGAGGGGCTTTAACAGAGGCTCTGTCACTGCCAGTGTATAACTGTGTATGTGCCACATCCTTAATTATAACATACCTGCTGTTTGAAGCTGCCTTTCTGTTCTGGGCTAAGTGTTACCTGAAAGTACTCACAGCTGTGAAGCAGAGGAGGGTGGTTCAGTTTTCTGACTGTGAAGGATGTTGTTTCTGCTGGTGAAATGATGAGGACACCTGTTCCCTGAAAAATGGATTGAAGCCTCTGCCTCTTTTCGTTCAGGGTGTTGGATAATGATCGTTGGTTGAGGCTGCAGGTCAATGTTGATGCAAACCAGGCTGAAGTCAATGAGTCATTACCAATCCCAGGAGAATGTGAGGCCCATTAGGAAGCATTATTTAAGCAGCCTCTCCTGCAGGATATAGCAGAACAGCAAATGCTCTGAGAATTCTCCATTGTTTTACTTGTTATAATTGTAAGTACTTGTCCAAGACTTGAACGCTGACCCTGTGGTCTCCAGTGTGTTCCTGGTGGACAGGGATGTGAGTATAAACAGGCACCAGAGCAGCTGGCACTAATAATCCTGCTTGGCAGTCCCTGCAGAGGAGAAGGAATGTGAATGAGCTGAGACACTGAACAGCTTTCTTCCTGGGGCTGGAGTGCCTCCTGGATGAGTTTCAGGTGTGCTGCTATGGCAGCTTCTTCTTTCTGGACCTGCAAACTGTCAAGTTCAAAGAAGCCCTGTTAAACATTGGTTTGAGTCACTCTTTTGGTGCTTGCTTGGACAGGATGCATGTTTGAGAGTGCAAGTAAATGCTTTACTGTAATTTGTCTTTTTGGCTGATTTGCAGCCCCTTGTTGCTGTTGTCGAGCCAAACAACTTTTAAGAACCTCAAAGTGTATATTTTTTTGGTTAATTCTATTTCTTATGAAGGATTAGGATGAGAGGACTAATGCATAGTTACATGCATGCACAGTACTAAAATAAATGGAGGAAAGCTTGGTGCAGGTAGAGGGTACATCTAAAAATGCACCAATAAGACTTGCAAAGGACAAATTATCAGAATTTCTTAGAGCATCAGCAGTGTAGCACTGGCAGATTGTCTCCATCCTTTTTTATGTAATTGTAATATGCTTTTTAAACTTTTTTATTTTCTACCTTGCAGGGGCCAGAGTTGATGAATAAATACGTTGGTGAGTCTGAACGAGCAGTGAGAGAGGTGAGGAAGGGCAGGCTATGGATAATGTTAGATGTTAAACTTTCTTGGCATTCAAATTCTTCTCTGCTCATAAGGTTAATTTTAAACTTTCTAAAAATCTCCTGGTGTAAGTTTCAAAAAGAGAAAGAAAATAGAAAAAGCAGGAGGGATATTTTATGTTGTTTAGCTTTCTTGAGCACTGGCCTAGTGATGCATGTCAAATTTGGGATCCAGTAGCAGCTGTCACTACCAGGCCTGCATTGCATAGTATCATGCATAGCTTTTAAACGATTTATTTAAAAAAAAAACCAAAACACCAAAACATGATAAGTCTGATGTCTGTTATGTGATGCTCTGTAGCTTTTGAGGCATGTAGGGGGTGATAGCATTCTGTAAACAGTTTCCATCCCTTAAAACAGGGTGTTTCGTTGTTGTTTTTCTAGATCTTCAGGAAAGCCAGAGCGGTGTCTCCTTCAATTCTTTTCTTTGATGAGATAGATGCCTTGGCAGTGGAAAGGGGAAAGTAAGTAATCCTGTTACAAAAATAACAGACATAATTTTCTGATAAATTACTCCTACACTGTGCAATCACAAGTCTATTTACCCTTCTAGAATTATTTTATGAAATATATTCATTCCACATACAGAAGGGCAGCATGTGTGACTTTTACTCAAGTGTGTTTGACTTGGCATAAACAGGTAAGCTGGTGGAGTTCCTCCTTTCTCATCTCATCAGCAGGAATGATTCTTCTGCTTCTCATGCCCGTTGGCTCTTTTCTGTGGTTTTACCTTGCATTTATTTCCAGTAACTAACTCCTTTTTTTTTCCCAGGATTGTTGCACTGGCCTAATTTGGTGTCTCCATCAAGCAAACAATATGATCATAAGCTGTGTAACACAAATTTCCAAGGAGACTACTCATATGCCTAAATTTACACTTACATTTAAACATTTTGCCAGACTGAGAAAAACTTCATGGAAAGATTTGGTAACACTTACATCCTTTCACGTGTGACATTAAGAAGGAATTACTGTGCAAACAGCTAATAGTATTTTCTTTAATATCCTGCTTTGTGATGATTCCAAGAGATGTTTAGCTTGTGTCTGAAGGAGGATTGTAACAGGTTTTAGTTGATACTACAGCATTTAAGATTTGACAGGCTCTGTAAGTGGAATATCTGCTTATAAATGCAACTGCTACTTGTTGTGAGCAAGTACTTTTATTCTGTTTTGTTTCGCATGACAAGCTACTGACTAGGTGCATGGAGAAAGTATTTGATCAATTTAAAGCCTCATCAAGATGTCAACATTTTTCTGGAAAACAAGCTCCCTCAGCATCCCTACAAATCCCTTTATATTGCAAAAAGGACATTTGTATCTTCAGGAAAGGATAACAGGTGTCACTTTGACATTTCAGTGACACAGATGAATTATTTGCGTTACAGGAGGTGGCATGACTTGTAGCGTAGAGCTGCCCTGTGAAACAGCTAAGAAATGAACGTATTTGCTGTTGAAAATGCAAAATCCATGTGAAGATGTTTTCATCAGCGTCCTTCTCATGTGCAGTGTGTGAAACTGTGGAATTTGTGAACTTCCTAGAAATGCTATGCACTGAAACACCTTGCAACAAAAAGTTGCAAAAATGTGTGCTTGAATCAAGCCAATGGAGGGGAATCTTCCGCTGCTGCAGCTTTTAACTTGTTCAGCTTTCAGAAACACCACTTCATCAAGATAAAACCTTTTGGAGGAATAAGCCGTAAAACATTTTAATCAGCCTTTTCACTCAGTGCCCTCGAGGTGTTGAGTTTGTTTGTTTGTTTGCTTTATTCTCTTAGGGAGTAAACAGCCTAATGTTACCTTACCTGGAACTGTCTGTGGGGGGTAGTAGGCCTGGCACAGCTTGCTGAAGAATGTGGTATGACCTGCTGCAGCCGTGTTGTGCTGGAGACATCTGGTTTTGGAGCTTTAAAAAGAACAGGGTGGGACACACAAATATTTCATTGTCAAATCTGAACCAGATGGGAGGTAAAATATGTAGCAGAGTTCTCATAAAATTCATCTGAAATTAAATGGTGTAGGAAACCAGACAAGGCACTTATTAGAAATGGCCTTTTTTTACAGGCTGACTTTGCACAGTAGGAATTTGCAAATGCACTAGAGATGCTAATGATTTGTGGCCTCTGGAGATCCATTTCCTGTACTATTACTAACCATGCTGAAGTTTTCAAGGAAACACCTGTTTATATTGTCTCCTTATTCCCTCTGTTGGTTGAATTAGTTTTCTCTGCCTTGGCAGTGAAAAACACTCTGGGATACAGCTTTGTAAGAGCTTTTCCTCTCGGTTTATATCCCTGTTAGAACGCTGTGGGCTTTGTGCAGAATGTGCCACATCCCAGATCTCGTGGGTAGGCAGCCTCTCCTGATCCTACCAAGACATGTCCAGAGATACAGAGAAGCCAAAGAATAGTTTTATGAATAATGCCAATCTGAAATATAGATGTGAAATAACACTGAGTAATTGCTTAATACTTTTGCCCTTCCAAGCACTTTGCCAAGTATTCATTAACCCATAATTACTTGTTTAGATTTGTCTAAAGCTTGTGGATTTACAACACAAATGTTTTGCTCCCAATCTTTGGAGCTGATCGAACAATCCCTTCTAAGCAGCAGGCACATATGAAGTAATAGACTTTGTGATTAGTGTACAGGTAAATCAAGAAAGATAAGGAATTACCTTGTTTGCACCATTCAATATAACATCTCCTTTGCATCATTTAGTGGATTCTGTCACTGCACTGCCATTACTCCATGGCAGACACTGTAGCTGCATTCACTTATGCCACGGTGTTTTATTTATTACACATTCCCAAGCCATAATGCCATAATTCCATAACTGTAATACATCTAGCACTCTACTTAATGCAACTGTCTTGTGTAGCAGTTTTGTTTTACAAAATGTATTTGTGTAGAACAAAAAAGTACTTTGAAGTCAGCAAAAATTATATTGGCATCGTTCATTGTCAGAGTGTATTAGTTCTTAAAAGATTATTTTTTATCCAGCCTGCTTAGAAGTTCCGTATCTTTTATCAATATGAACTAAGCTCCTGGTTTTGTTTTTTTCTTGTCTGTCTGCACTCCCCTCCCAATTTTCCATGTAGGCAGCAAACAATTACATATTAATCAGGGAATTAAAAATGTGGGCTGGATACATACCAACCTCGAAGACAATTTATGAAACTATAATCCTGCACCTCGGAAGAAAAGTATTTCAGTGCAGAGAGCAATTGCTCAAGAGAAAAGTCTGGAGATCCTTGCTGCAAGAAGATGAGAGGGTGATTCTGAAAGGACTTGGGTTTCTAATGTGGTAGTGAAGGCAGATAAAGATACTTTGAGCTGTATTAATTTCTGAATCTTGTTCTGTTACACTGAGCTTCTAGCACTCTTGGAAGAATTTTCCATCTCTTTCTGGTTTATGTTGAGACGTTAGAGGAAGTTTAGAGATAACTGAAAAGGAAAAATTAGGGGCTGAATGACCTGACTATAAGGAAAAAAGGAGGCATTCCCTCTAACTGTTTCTAAAGAACAGATGAGAAACCTGCAGAATAAAGATGGGAGAAAGTTAGAGGTGTCACAGAGAGGTTTGAGTAGGAGAAATGATTGATATGGGGAAAATGTCTGTAAATCAGCAAGGCTTTTGGTAGAGCATTCTCCTTCCCCGTGAGTTAGTCATTTGGGAGAAGGTCCAGAACCTTCCACTTGACATCTTTAAAACAAACCTGACATTTCAGGGATCACTGTGCAGCGAGGAGCAGTCGGGCACTGTCAGAGGTGAACAACGTGACGCACGGAGCCTTTTCCACTGCTCCGTGGTTCTAATGAGCATTTGCTTCCACGAGCGGGTTATGACTTTTTCCTTTCTTTCTCCATACTTTTGAAAGATGTTGTTATGACTTTTTGTAGGAGACACTGTGCTAAGGCAGGACTGGTCCAGATACAGCAGGAAAGTTTGCCTGGAAGTAAGCCCTGGCCTGCACGAAAGCTTGAGAGGCTTTACAAATTGCACAGCTGCAGAGAGTTATGGGTATTTGTTATCCCTCGGTATTCCTGACCATGTAAAACCTAATTCTTCTAGCCATCAGAGGTTGCCAAGAGGGAAATGGCTTGGTAATTAGACTTGAAAGTGATGAATGAACGTGGGTCTGTGTAAATGCAGCACAGGCAGTCTGTTTGCTGAACTTAAGAAATCTCTGTGCTTTGGAAATGGGACATTGTTTATATAAGTAGGATTTTTAGGATTTTTGGGCGGGAGACATATTTGTTCCTTTTCTTGTTTTTTCAGAAGCAAAGCATTTTCCCCTTTAACTGCAAGTCTTTGTAACGTAAGATGGGAAATGTTGTAGACTGCTATAGAAGACACTGATAAATTCCATTTTCAAAGGGGAAGAAAAGAGAAAGACAAGGGACAAAATGAGTACCTTGCATTTGACTTCTGGAGGCCAAAACAATTTGGTAGATGAATGTTGCTAACCTTTTCAGAGTGAGGGTGGAAGTGACAAAGTGAAGGGATATTGCTACCGGTCCCCTGAAACTACAACTTGATGATGCTTTTTCGGGAAAATACATTATCCTGTATGCTGAGGGGAGGATAGATAGATTCCTAAGCCACAATTTGAATTGCTCAGAAGCACTGAAAGACGTACTGTTTTCATTTAGGTATTAAAATATTTGCAGTCTCAAATTTTGAGGCCCTCAGGCTTCTAAAGGAAGGTGTGAAGAACAGCAGCTTCTCTGCTGTCCTCTGCTACCTCTGCTTTTAACAGAGACAGTGGTAAATCTTCTCTTTTTAAACCAAGCTGTCTTTCTGGAACATTTTAGCCCATATTTATACTCTGCACTTGAACATACCCTTGCATTTTTGTATCTGTGCAAATTCCCTGGTGCATTGAGCAGCCTCTGTCATGAAGGAGGTCAGTGATTGCATCCAGTAAGGAAACCCATGGGCTGGACCCTGCAGGGATGCAGCAAGGTGATGTTGGGTAGGATAGAGGTTGTTGGCAGAAATCCACCTTGCACAAGGGTAAGTTATCAGTAGTCCCTGAATTGGGGAACATCAGCTGATTCTCTGCAATATCTGAGCTGTGTTTGTGTGTGATGGAGAGCTGAGACATTTGAAACTTCTGCGACTGCTGTGTGAATTCTTCAAAGTTTTGGAATTTGGTATCGAAACAGAAATATTGTCTGGGAAAAACGTTGCATGTCCAGGGCCAGCTTTCTATTTTAGGCCTAGCAAGGAGTGGTGAAGAAGGAAAGTTTTGAAACAATTTGATTGTACAGCGAAGCTCGTATTTGTCTTTGGAATAGCAATTTTAAAAAATGACATTACCCAGACATTGTGTATATATACAGTAAATTTCTGAAATCCCTTTAGTTTTGAAACAAGCTCATTAACACTTCTTGTCTAGCAAGAATCTTTTGTCTCAATGTGTTCTAAATCTGTGTTTCTTCCTTTTTGTAACTTTTTAAC